AAGAAAATAAAGCTGGAAACTTGGGAATGCCAGAGAAGTGGGAGGGGAGAAAAGAAACCTGGGAAGTCTGGATGGGAATTGGGAAGAAAACAAAGCTGGAAACCAGTCCCCAGACCCCCCAGGGGTTTTAGGGACACCCCTCAGGACCTTGGGAATGGGGGTATCCCAGTCCTGGATCCCCCTGGGATGGGGGTGTTCCTGTCCCAGACCCCTCAGGGCTTTGGGATGGGGGTGTCCCAACCCCTCTGGGATTTGGGAATGGGGGCACCCTGGTCCTGGATCCCCCTGGGATGGGGGTGTTCCTGTCCCAGAGCCCTCAGGACCTTGGGAATGGGGGTATCCCAGTCTCAAACCTCCCAGGGATGGGGGTGCTCCTATCCCAGACCCCTCAGGGATCTTGGGAATGGGGGTATCCCGATCCAGGGCATCCCAGCAATGGGGAGATCATCCCATCCCCAACCCCACTGTGCCTTGGGAATGGGGGTATCCCAGTCCTGGATCCCCCTGGGATGGGGGTCACCCCTCAGGACCTTGGGAATGGGGGTATCCCCATCCTGGATCCCCCTGGGATGGGGGTGTCCCTGTCCCCATCCCTCAGGACCTTGGGAATGGGGGTATCCCAGTCTCAAACCTCTCAGGGATGGGGGTGTCCCTGTCCCAGACCTTTCCAGAGCTTTTGGGGACACCCCTCATGGCCTTGGGAATGTCCAGATCCAGGACACCCCAGAAATAGGGAGATCATCCTGTCCCCAACCCCTCATGGCCTTGGGAATGGGGGCATCCCAATCCTGGATCCCCCTGGGATGGGGGTCACCCCTCATGGCCTTGGGAATGGGGGTACCCCAATCCTGGATCCCCCTGGGATGGGGGTCACCCCTCATGGCCTTGGGAATGGGGGTATCCCAATCCTGGATCCCCCTAGGATGGGGGTGTCCCTGTCCCCATCCCTCAGGACCTTGGGAATGGGGGTATCCCAGTCCTGGATCCCCCTGGGATGGGGGTGTCCCTGTCCTCATCCCTCAGGATCTTGGGAATGGGGGTATCCCAGTCTCAAACCTCCCAGGGATGGGGGTGCTCCTATCCCAGACCCCTCAGGGATCTTGGGGACGGGGTGTCCCGATCCAGGGCACCCCAGTGATGGGGGGGTCACCCCGACCCCTCAGAGCTTCGGGGACGGCGGTTTCCCAGCCCCATTTCCCCCCCCCCCCAGGACCTTGAGGAGGGAGAGCGGCGGCCCCCAACCCCTCAGGGCCTGAGGGACGCGGATTGCGGGTCCCTCAGTGCCTCGGTATCGCGGCTGTCCCGCTGCCCCCGCCCGTCCCCTCATGGAGGGGATGTTCCTCTTCCAACCCCCTCCTCAGCCCCCTCAGCCTCGGGGTCACCCCCGCCCGCCCGGGCCGCCACTCACCCGCTGCCCGCGGCTTGGCCGGCAGCTGCACGAAGCGATTGAGGGTCCCGCAGGCGCCATCGCCGCCGCCCGAGGGGCCCCCCGAGGGTCCCCCCGCGCCCTCCCCGAGCCCGAGCCCGGCCCGGGCCGCGGCCGCCGCCGACATAGCCCGGCCGTCCTGTGGGACGGGGCGCTCCGGCCAATCAGCGCGCGGCTTCTTGGGCCGCGACCTATCAGCCGCGCGCTTGTTGGCAGGTGGGAGAGCCGAGCGATCGATGCAGGGTGGAGCAATAGAGCGCCGAGCGCGGCGGCGCGGGGACACTCACGGGGACACCCGCGGGGTCACTTGCGGGGACA